AGAGTTTACTTCATTTGAAAGGACAAAACCTATTGCAATGGCCTTGTTTCACATTTACTGTAACATCTGTTCAAATGAACAAATGTTTGATATTTTTACAATTTACATTCATCTGTTTTACAGAACTAATGAAGCAAAATAATTCCTCCAGTGTCATCAACAAAGAGAACACATACATATTTCAGTAGAGTTTTGTTAATAAAGGTCTCATTCCCTCAAAATTTACTATTTCTCTGAATGTCAAATTCTTACCCTTTTAAAAATTATCTTAGAAGTAGTGTAGTAAACTTCTCACTTATCATTGTGAGATTTATATGTTTTTACTGAGAATAATAAGGCAGAGTATAAGCTTCTTTTAACCTTTAATACACAATACAAATGCCAAAATATTTAGTTTTTTTTTCTTACTTTCATATTAGAGATAAAATGCTCTAACTTTGGAAAAGATTTATTACTCTCTGAAAAAGTTGAAGAGGAAATACTCCGTGATTAATATGTAGAATTGTTATTAAATGAATCGGTATGGATTCAGTGCAGTTAAAGCTAGGGAATCCTGACTTTACATAGTTATCTTGTAAGTCAACTGACATACCTTTCCCTCACTACCAATTGTTCCGATGAATAAAGAGGTTGAAAAATTTCCACTTGATCAGCTTTATTATGTAGGGTTGTATAAGGCATGGTCATTAATGAATTAATGATAACATTTATTAATTTTTTTAGGTAAAAGTTTCAAAATTTAGCAACATGGAGGTTTAAAAGAATCAGTGAAATGGCATAATGAAAAAACCTGATAAAGTCTTCGAAAAATGAAATCAATTGTCTTATTAGAATGAAAAGTATGTTCACTCTAAGTACTCTGTTTACAGAAAAGCAAAGTAAAAACATTTTTTTTTTAAGATTTTATTTATCTGTTTGACAGAGACACAGGGAGAGAGGGAGCACAAGCAGGGGGAGTGGAAGAGGGAGAAGCAGGCTCCCCGCGGAGCAGGGAGCCTGATGTGGGGCCCATCCCAGGACCCCAGGATCCTGACCTGAGCCGAAGGCAGACGCTTCACTGACTGAGCCACCCAGGCACCCCAAAACATTTTAAAATTAAATTAGTTCTATTAAGTTTTTGAAACATAACCTTCATTTTATTCATTTTATAGCATTTTTTGTTTTGCAAATATATATAATAGTAACTTTGGGCATCATGTATTAGAACTACTAAGAATAACAGTCCTATTATTCTTTATATCACATATCTCTGTTGCCCTTATTATTTCAATTATTAGTAAACACAAAATACATCTTAATGGCATAAAAATTCCTAAATGTATTTGTACTTCATTCAGAACTCTAACTTGGAAGTATACTTGTGTGTCTTTTAAAGATTTGTTTATTTGAGAGAGAGAGAGAGCGCGCGTGAGAGAGCGCGGTGGGGAGGAGCAGAAAGAGACAAAGAGAAAGTCTTAAGCAGACTCTGTTCTGAGTGAGGAGCCCCAGGTGGGGCTTGATCTCATGACCCTGAGATCAGGACCCTGAGATCATGACCTGAGCTGAAAAGGGTTGGAAGCCTAACCGACTGCGCCACCCAGGCACCCATTATGTGTCTTGTATTTACTAATGACATTACAAATGTTGTGGTTAAGTATATTTTGGAAGTTAATCGAGCTTGGCTTTGAAAAACACGGTGATGTATTTACAATATGATACTCTACATTTTTTTTTTAAGATTTTATTTATTTGAGAGAGAGAAAATGAGAGCAGGGGGCAGGGGGTGGAGCAGAGGGAGGAGCTGAAGGAGAGGGACAAGCAGACTCTGTGCTGAGCATGGAGCCGGACATGGGGCTTGATCCCATGACCCGGAGATCATGACCTGAGCTCAAATCAAGAGTCTGATGCTTAACCAACTGAGCCACCCAGGCGCCCCCCCCCATTTATTATTCTTCATTATGTAGCTTCATTTTTCTCAGAACCATTATGTACTTATATACATATCATACTAATGATTTTTTCTTTTGTAAGATTATCTTTTATTTCAAAACAAAATAAATTCTTCATTACACATTGAATACAACACCAATTCCCATTAACAATACCCTCAGAATATACACTGAAATGGTCTAATTCTTCATATCTCCATGACTACCACTCTGGGACATGTCTCTGTCTTCTCTTGCTTGGACTTCCAAAATGTTTCGTTGCTTCCATGCTTGTCTTCTTATTTATTTTTCATCAGAAACAGTGATCTTTGTAAACTAGAATAATACCAAAATACTTCTCTACCTAAAACTCTCCAGTGGTTTCCTTTCACAGAATATAACTCGCTTCCTGCCCATCCTCTTTAATCTCAAACCACTGTCCTGAGTGTTCATTTTACACCATTTCCCTGAGCACTCCCATTCTTTGAACTGGCCAAATGTGTGTGGGCTGCTCACTGTTCCTTCTGGCTAGAAACTCATGCTAGCTAAGCATGTGTGGCTCATTTTGTCACTGAAATCCCATTTATCATCTACTCACCTTACCTCCTCACCCTTCACGTGTTGCCATCTGTATTTATCTTTTTGATGTTGTTGGGTTTTTGTGTATCTCTTATCACTAAAATATGTAAGGTTTACAAGAGCAGAGTCTTATTCACAGCTGTATCTCTTAGGCTCCTAGAGCAGTGGCCTTTATGTAGTACGTTCTTTCAAATAATGTGCCATAAAAACACTTCCCCACTAATGAGGGTCTTCCTGTAGGGTGGGAGTAAAATAGAAGACTACTAGGAAAACTAATTTAGACGAAATTCAAAGTTACAACATTAATCTGAATGCTCTTCAGCCATCAAACAGGAAATTTAGAGATTAACAAGCCAGACAGAAGCATCACCGGATGTCTCAATATAGAAATTTACCCTTTCTCAAAATAGAGTTCAGAGCATCACGCTGAAAGGACATGAAATTAAAACAAACGAGTAAAACAACAATAACAAAATACTGTATAACGTTCTCCTTGAACAGGTTTGAATTATTTTACTCTGTCCAACATCCTTTGGTTCAGCTCAGAAAATATGGTGTCTTCCTTGGCACCTCCTTTTCTCTCACAGCCTTAGTCCAACCATCAGTACATCTTGGCAGGTGTATCCTCAAAATTTATCCAAAATTCATCTACTTCTCCATATCTGTACTGGTAGTGCCCTGGCCCCCACTGTCATCTCTCACCTAAAGTTTTGCAAGAGTTCCCAGTGGGTCTGCCTGTTTCAACTCTTGCTTCACTTCAATCTGTTTTCCACATAATGCATAGTCTTTTGTTTAAAAAGTGTAAGTCCAGTATCACTTAGCTCATTATGCTCCACTTCTGCCCCTCTCACTTAGAACAAAAGCCAAACTCTTTGATTTTATGCTACCTTTCTGGCCTCATCCAGCTGTGGCCACCTCACCATTCTTGGAACTCGCTAAGCATGTCTCCAACTTCAAGACCTTTCACTTGTCATTTCTCCTTCCTGGAACACTCCCTGCCCCCACTCCATTTCCACCTGGTTTGCTTCTTCATTTTCTTTATATACACTGAATGACATTTATCATCCAATAATCAATGTATATATATATATATATATATATATATATATATATATTAGAAAATAGTGACAACCTTCTTTTAGATGTGTTGGTCTAGCGTAGATAATGGATTCTTGAGTCAGAATGTTTAAGTTGAAAAACCAGCTCTACCACTTTAAATTTTCTCTTAAGTTTTCTACTGTAAAATGCTTGCCTGGCTCATAGTAAATGCTCAGTTAACACCATTATTATTATTTTGGTATGATACCTGCCTAATATTTGTAATTATTGAGACATAACTACAAGTGGGCTAAAAATATAATTTGCATATTATTTTTCCACGGGAAAGTATATCTGAAATTTTTTCTATGCTGCTAAATAGCCTTAAATGGCAAAAAATAATTTTGAGTCCTACTTATATTATAACATGTAATAGAGACACCATAACTTAACTACTACTCCATCATTTTAAGTTGTTTAGCTTCCATTTCTCTTTTATTACTGCTTTGCAATAAATATTCACCTGAATATTATACCTTCTTTTATGTATTAAGATTTTTTTAGTATAAATATATGGATTCATGGATGTAAGATTGTTGGTCGAAGTAGCCATTTGATATTAGCCTCAAGAAAAGTAAACTAGGGCTCCTGGGTGGCTCAGTTGGTTAAGCGACTGCCTTCGGCTCAGGTCATGATAGAGTCCCGCATCAGGCTCCCTGCTCAGCAGGGAGTCTGCTTCTCCCTCTGACCCTCTTCCCTCTCATGCTCTCTCTCAAATAAATAAAATCTTTAAAAAAAAAGAAAGAAAAATAAACTATATAAATAATGTCCAAGTCACTTCTTTAAATTCATATAATTTTAAATTTTTGTATTAAAAAGTCATTCACTCACATTGCTTTTTATAACTAGAAAGAATTAAGTATATCATAAGAAAACAATAGAACATAAGAAACTATAATTAATTAACCTTTTCTTTAAAAACTAAGAAATAACTTTGTGTCTGCTGAATTGGTGTTCATAGATAAAGAATAACACAACGACATTGTTTGGAAGTAACGTGTGCACACAATGATGTGCCCCTAAAAGTAAGGATAACAAGAAAGAAACTGAATTTTTAATTTCAGCTCGAGACTGTTGCACCTGTTTGATCATTTGGCAAAGCTACCTTTCTGTTGTTCAGGAGGCAAAGTGACTGATTGATCCAGTTTACCCTACTGTTAACCCATTCTGCAGAGAACTTCTATTTATAGCCTTGCCAGATGAATACTATACTGCTGAGAATTAAATAACCCCAGTGTAGTGAAACCTAGCTATAAAGATATGAGGCATTGATTAATTTCTTTCCTATTTAATATAAGGCTGTTTTTACAGTATTTTACTCAACTGAATAGATCAAAATCTGTAAAAAGCCAATCTGTAATAAGTCAGATTGTATATTAAAAAGCCATACTTATTATTCTCTTCTCTAAATTTCAGTATAAAGAACGTAACTCCTAAAGTAGGAGACCCTGAAACCCGCAAAGCTATTCGCCGTGCCTTTGATGTGTGGCAGAATGTAACTCCTCTGACATTTGAAGAAGTTCCTTACAGCGAATTGGAAAATGGCAAACGCGATGTGGATATAACCATCATTTTTGCATCTGGTTTTCATGGAGATAGTTCTCCCTTTGATGGAGAGGGAGGGTTTTTGGCACATGCCTATTTCCCTGGACCAGGAATTGGGGGAGATACTCATTTTGACTCAGATGAGCCATGGACACTAGGAAATCCTAATCATGATGGTAAGTGCATTGCATAGCTTTTTTCATTGCAAATAGTTGTTTTTATTTTTATTTTTGAATGCCCAAGTGATTTAGTAATTTAAAAACTTTCAAGGTGCTGATTCTAAATTTGTTTTTAAAATGATAAAACATGATATGAGGCTTTTTGATAACATTTTAGAACAAGAATTTGTATGGGTCAGTAGACGTTACTAGTTTTTTGTGTGGTCTGTTGCCTAGAGATTAGAACTTTACACTGTGTTCTGTAAATAAAGTGAATTTTGTTTTCTATAAAATGTCACTTAAAAGACTTCATAGTATTTTAAGTCATGGAACATGCTTAAGGAAATTCTGCTATTTTTCTACACTATATTGCAGTGTTTCCACTTAAAACTTAACCTGATTGATATTTGTGGTGTAGCTTCTGCCATCTTTCCTGTTCTTTTCTATTATCACTTTTCTAGTTTGTAAAATTTTGCTCCTTTCATCCATTTTCTTGGTCTCCCAATATGATACGACTACATAATTTATTATTTTTATATTATATCTTTATTTTTATCAAAAAACCACTTTTGCAAATCTGTTCCAACAAATCTGTCAGATTTTTAATCTTCTGATATGCAAAAATAAATTTAAAATAACTCAATAACTAAAAAAATAGTTACTTCATATAAGAAGCATGTGTTTCTTCCTAGATAACAATCCATACTTCAATTTTATGTTTAAAAAGTGTTCACATAATTATAGGATCCTAGAGTTAGAAGATTCCTAAGCATCCACCTCTTGCAATTCTTGTAATCAAGACTTAAATATTTTTCTTCCTCACCACAGTAGAATTTTGTTGAAAATACAGCATGCATTGTTTTAGTGACAGCTAATCAGCTAATAAACCTCTTAATTCCTCCTTAATGAGTTAAACCCAGCCATCAAATTAAGCTTTGTTAGTTCATCAGAAAGTTTAGTTAGCGGGATTAGTGTAATAGCCTTGCATTTTGAGAATGCACAGCGTTCAAACATTACGGGTAGAATGAAATAAGTTGAGTTAAATTTAAAATAACACCAATTTCCAAAGAAAGAAAATATAATAAATACCTGTTCCTGTTTTCCAAAAGAAAATAAAACATCTAGTATTCAATAAAATGGCCTTTTGCATTGTTATTAATAGGTATATTGAGGGCGCCTGGGTGGCTCAGTTGGTTAAGTGACTGCCTTCGGCTCAGGTCATGATCCTGGAGTCCCAGGATCGAGTCCCGCATCGGGCTCCCTGCTCGGTGGGGAGTCTGCTTCTCCCTCTGACCCTCCCCCCTCTCATGTGCTCTCTCTCTCTCATTCTCTCTCTCAAATAAATAAATAAAAAATCTTAAAAAAATAGGTATATTGATTATGAAATTATGACTTCATTTTTAAGAACTGATTTGGAGACAAACGGCAAGTATATTGAGAGATTTCACTATATAGTAGTTTAATGAAAGCCAAAAACTGTGAAGTTGAGCAGGCTGCATTCAATTCCTGGCTAACTGATCATAGCTCAAGAAGCCTCTACCATGCTGTGTGCTTATTTTCACTCTGTATGTTGTATTGCAGGGCTGGGACATTGCAAGTAGACATGCTTTCTATGCAGGAATGTTTAACCTACTGTATGCCTGAGCATCCAATAATAAAATATCTGCAACGTGATAGCAGGCTCACACTGGTTTGATACATAAGTCATTTAAAATTAAATGTGTTTATCTTATTTTTTAATTTTTTTTTTTTGTTAAGTGGGCTCCACACCCAATGTGGGGCTCAAACTCATGACCTTGAGATCAAGACCTGAGCTGAGATCAAGAGTCGGGTGCTCAAGCGATGAGCTACCCAGGCGCCCCTATCTTATTTTTATCAAAATTACACAGGCATTCTAATGAAATAGTTCAGACATCTTCAAGTCAATTGTTAATATAAATGTTTGCATTCTAAATGATTGAGAATAATAGCACTTATAAAGGTAGAATTTTGCTGATGGAGGCAAAACTGCATTTGTTTCTGGGAAAAGACTTCTTCTGAAATTCTAAACAGAGAAAATTATTTTTTATTCCAGTAATTATAATTCCAAAATTATATTTTAGTCTAATAATAGATCTGATTGTTAAGGCTACTATAAATCTGGATCTTTGAAGTCGTGTTAATTTGGATGATGGTGCCTATCAAATGGCCTATATTTTCTCTTAAAATATTGAAATCCTTAAGAAAGCTGCACACATTTTTTAGATGTATCCTCTATTAACTGCATTTTTTAGGTATCAAGAAATACTTTTTGAAAATAAAAAGCTTTAAGAAAAAATCTGTAGGGACATTTGAGTTGACAGAGGAAATGAGAATGTTTACACTGATTTAAGTATGATTGCTCTTATGAATGCTTCTGTGTTTTGCACAACTTAAGAGGTTTTCCAAGGAATATATATGTGGGGTAGAATTGAAATAGAACATATGAGCTAAAGATATACAATCATGTCAATGGACTTTTGACTCAGGTTATGTATTAATACAATTTATACTGTAGAAGTATGATAATTTTTGTACATAGGCATACTGTTAAACAAAACAAATTATTTAATAACTAGTGTTTCATTTGGAAGAAAATATTTCTTTACTGATCATATAAACATATTTTTTTCTTTTGAGTGAGCTTAAGGAAAATGACTACAAAATCACGGTGTTTCAGAATTGTAGGGGATTAAGGAGAAGTTACTGTCTGTTGAAGATGTAATAGCATAAAGATTTACTGCTTAATTGAAATTCAGGCTTTTAACTAGCAACAGCAGGACAACTAAGGTGGTGTCATACTGAAGTATTGATCATTTATCAAAAGAACAGCCTCTAGCTTTGCTGTGTTACTGGTGTGTATGGGGAGAATTAATGCATTTGTACATCCTACATCCTGACTGTCTGTAAGATTACCTTTTCGTATCACATACATACAAGGAACAATTCTGACATCTTCATTGATAAACTTCTTTTTTTACTCCAGTCCTCAAATGCCCCCAAGCTTACTTAACTGAAAAATTTTCTTTCTTTCCTATTCATAGCTCTTAAGCACCTAGAAAACAGAGCAGCTTGATAATTTAGCAAAAATGCAAATGAAAAGAGCCTCTTGATAAGTACCCAGCTCATTTTCCACAGCATATTGCTCAGCTAATGAAGGCAATTTGAATTCTGTCTACCTCAAAAGAGATAAACAGTGTCTTAGGCTGCCAGTAACCTTTAATTCATTGTTACCCACTTTCCTATCAATTTGCTTATAGTCATGATACCTTTCAAAAACTCAAACTAAAACCCATTAAGTAAATTACACAATAATCATATTAAAATAAATAAATACATCACACATACACAGGTATACACACACGCACTCCCCCACCTAATAAAAATAATGCCACTTTTTCTAAGAGGATTTTTTTTTTTTTTATGGAGTGGATAAGCAAAACATATGCATAGTAATTCTAAATAGAAAATGTTACTGTGATGTTTTTTTTGAAAAGTATACATTGCCTAAAGTGAGTTGGAAAATTTAACTCTAGCAAAATGTTAAGATTCATTTTGAGCATCATTATCATATTGTTTCCTTGGCTACGGTATAAACTTTAAATGGCACTATCAATGTAAACACAAACTTACCACAAAGATTCTTTCTAATTAGACAAGTATGTATTGCAGTAGTAAGATTTCAAATCGATAATCTCTAAGCAAAAAGGTTACCTATTAAAATGTTATATAAAACTACAACAGAAAAATATCTAGAAGCAAGTCTTATTATACCATAGTGTTGCAATTCTATTAACAGGAGGAATACATTGCATTGGCTCTGTTTATTATCAGAAAAATCACTGCCTGCAGTAAGAAGATGATCAGGAGGTGCTCAAGGCTGTTGTGGCAGTCTGCCTAAAAACAGGGAGGGAGAAATGATGATAAAAATTGTATCAAGATATCAAAACCCTTAAATCTATTACATCATTGTGATGGTTAGTTTTATGTGTCAATTTGACTGGGCTAAGGGGTACACATATAGCAAATAAATATGATTTCTGGATGTGTCTGTGAGGGTGTTTCTGGAGGAGATTAGCATTTGATTCAGAAGACTGAGTAAAGAAGATCCTCCCGCCCCAGTGTGGGCAGACATCATCCAATCCACTGAGGGCCAAAATAGAAAAAAAAAAAAGAGGAAGGGGGAATTTTCTCTCTTTTTTGAGCTGAGACACATCTTTTCCTGCCCTTGGAGACCAGAACTCCTGGTTTTTGGGCCATCAGTCTCTGACTGAATTATACCTTTGGTTTTCCAGGTTCTCCAGCTTGCAGATGGCAGATCGTGAGACTTCTCAGCCTCCATAACCTTTTGAGCTAATTCCTATAATAAATCTCCTCCTAAATATCTGTATATATCCTATTTGTTCTGTCTTTCTGGAGAATCCTGGCTAATATAACCATTAAATGTGAAGCAGTCAAATTCTACATGTAAGCCAGCTCATTCTTTGAATAAACCTAGGAGAAGTTAAAAATCTTCATGATGTGATGCCTGAGTCAACGGACTTGATTTGTGTCGACTGGGGAGAGTTAACTTTCTGGAGGAGATATTTTGTCGTTGGCACACTAGAGATGCATTGGTGCCAAGAAGTAAACTTAGGCCTTAACCAGCTGTCTGCCATCTCCCAACTTTTTCTGCTCATTTTGCAACCGTAACGTTTTATAATATTTTTCCGTTGCTTACGGGATCTTGACTTTGATCTTTGAGGACAGGAAAATTTGGATGCCAAATAGGTATTTACCAAGAGGCCTGGAAGTGCTATAGTCTGTGGGAATATTGTCCAGATCAATCTTTCCTGTGCTTTTTTTTTTTTTTTTAAGATTTTACTTATTTATTTGACAGAGAGACATAGCAAGAGAGGGAACACAAGCAGGGGGAGTGGGAGAGGGAGTAGCAGGCTTCCTGCTGAGCAGGGAGCCCGATGTGGGGTTTGATCCCTGGGACCCTGGGATCATGACCTGAG